TGCCAAGGTACCATCTGATACCATTTGTAGAATGGTGAAGGAAAGCAGGTTTGAAGTGGATGAACTCTTAGTGCATGGTATTTTGGCCAAAGCCCTGCCCCTTCTCCCCAGGGTGAGACTAGCCCTGTCCTGCACTGTGGTGTGGCCTAACTAATCACACAGCCACTATCTGGGGCCAGACCTCAACAGGCACTGCTTGTCTGCAGTCAGAAGTCAGCCACTGGCATCTCCCGTGCCCTAGATAGATTAAATGTATCCTGGTAAGTGGCAAGTTGGGGCAGTGGGTGATGTGATGGGGGTCTGACCATCCTCCTATAAACAGCCTGAATTGCAGAGATTAGAGGCTTCAAAACAAACAAACAAACAAACAAACAAACCTGTTACATAGCATCATCCAACCATCGACCAAGTTTATCTTCAGTGCTTTGCCAGTTTTGGAGGGAGTGGTATGTGGCCCCTATGTTCAGGAAAAATACCAGTCCCTGCTCTGGGATAGCAATCTCTTTAGAATAACCTACAGAACAGCAGATATGGCTGGGGGAGTGGCTTAGCGGTGCAGCGTGCACTTAGCATGCACAAGGCCCTGGGTTCCATCTCTACCACCACCAAAAAAGTTTACTCTGAACATTACACAAGTTATACATGTGTCCCAACAACACATGGAAACCCATAGATATGTAGAATTTTATTTTTTATGTAATAAAAAACAAATTTATTTTTAAAAAAAGAACAATTAGCATCTTCTCTCTCCTGTGTGGAAACTAAAAAATGTCAAAATAGAACAGTGATTATGATTGAGAAGGGTGTATGGATGGGAGGTGGGGGTAGAAAAAGGGAGGTTGGATTGGTTTGTTCATTTTGTTTTTGAGAGGGTCTTGCTATGTAGTTCAGGCTGACCTTGAACTCACTATGTGGCCCAGACTGGCCTCAAATTCAGAGATCCTCCTGCCTCAGCCTCCCAAGTACTGGGATTACAGGCGTGCAGCACCACGCCCACCTGAGAGGTTGGGTTTGATCAAGGCATGCTGTATGCATGTTTGAAAATATCACACTGAGTCCCATTTATATGTATAATTAATAAATGTTAATCAATAAGATAATTAGAGCCAGGAAGGCCTACATGCAAGGGGAAGGTGGAGGCTCAGCAGCACGCCAGAGAGCTGGCAAGAGGTTTCTGAGGCTCTCACAGAGGATTTCTCGCAGCCTCCAGCTGTGCATCACTCAGCCCCACTGCGCTTGGCATTTGAGACCCCTCTGTCCTCGAGCCATTCAGTGGAATGAGCCACCTAGGTTCCCTGGCAGGGAAGAGGAGGAAGCGCCTGCGGGCCAGGCAGAACCCTGTAGTTGTGAAGTCCATTTCTGGTGCAGACAGGCATCTGTTTTGTGGGGACACAGTGAAGACTCTAGAAGGCAAGGATGCTGGGAAGCAGTGCAAAGCAGTTGGGAGTTATCCACAGTGAGGTCGGGTGGTCCTGGAGGGGCTGCACACACCTTTCTGCTGCCTTGGCAAGATCAAGGGTTTTCAGGGCACCATGATCCCTCCTGCAGCCCCTCTGCTCCACAACCAAGTCAAACCTGTGGATTCTATAGACAGGAAGCCCACTGAGACTGAGCGGAGAATTTACTGAGGCAGGGGAGCGGCTTAAGCCTCCACAAGATCAAGAAGGATCATCCCCAAACCTGAACTTAAAGAGTGCATGGCCTTGTCCCCAAGACATGGGTTGATGGCCCAAAGAGACATGGGTGGAAAACACTCTAGGAAGAGCTTGTGGGGCCAGGGACATAGCTCAGCGGTGCTGTGCCTGCCTGGCAAGTACAAGGTCCTGAGTTCGATCCCTGGTACCAGGAAAAAAAAAAGGATATTAGCCAGCTTTGATAAAATGCTCCAATACCAGGAAGAGCTCATGTGCCTCATGCAAAGACACTGGAGAGAGAGGGCACGAAGGCAATGGGGAAACACAAGCAAGTCTACTGCTATGGAGCCTGTGGGGAGAGCAGCTTCTCCCTGGCCTACCTTGAAAGGCAGAGGCACTTGTTTGTTTCTCAGTTGCTAATGAAGTGCCAGTAGTCCTCAAAATAAAATCTCAAAGCCGGGCACGGTGGTGCTGGCCTACATTCCCAGCACTCAGTGGGTGAGGCAGGAGGATCACAAGCTTGAGCCCAACTCCTGCAACTTTGTGACTTAGTAAGACCCTGTCTCAAAATAAAAAAGGACTGAGGATGTAGCTTAGTGCATAAGTCCTGAGTTCAGTCCCCAGTACTGCAGGATCAAGAAACAAAAATGAATAACAGTTTCAGCCTGAACTACAAAGCAAGATCCTGAGGGCCAGGGATTTAGCTCAGAGGCGCTGCACCTGCTTGAAAATATAAAGTCCAGCCGGGTGTGGTGGTGCACGTCTGTAATCCCAGCACTCGGGAGGCTGAGCAGGAGGATTGCTGTGAGTTCGAGACCAGCCTGGGCTACATAGTGAGTTCCAGGTCAGTCTCAACTACATAGTGAGACCCTGTCTCAAAAAACTAAAAAAAAAGAAAACATAAGGTCCATTTTTTTGTTGTTGTTGTTTTGTTTTTTAGTACCAAGGATTCAACTTGGGACCTTGCACTTTTAAGGCAGGTGGCAGCACCACCGAGCTAAATCCCTGGCCCACAAGGTCCTGAGTTTGATTCCCGGTATCACAAACCACCCCCCCCAAAAAAAAAACAAAAAACAAAAAAACCCAAGTGAGATGCTGTCTTAAAAAACCAAAAGCAAGAAGTAAATAAATAACATAAAGGTGGCAATAAGGGAGATGTGTACATATTAAGAGTGGGGAGAAAGCCAGGTGTGGTGGCGCACGCAGGACGATCGCTGGGAGTTTGAGTCCAGCCTGGGTGACACAGTGACTTCAAGGCCAGCCTGAACTACACAGGGAGACTTTGGCTTTAAAAAAAAAAGGGATGGGCAAAGACGTCAGGAAGACAGAGTGGGCTGAGATCAAGGAGTGCTATAGGAGACTTTAGACTTGGTGTGGTGGTGACAGGCAGTCTTCAACAGGGAGGGGATACAGAGCAAGTGGTACTTTAGGAAGTCACTGAGCAGCAGTGGTAGACTAAGGATGGACACAATACATTGTGAGCCTTTCTATGGAATTATCTCATCCTGCTGTCTTTCTGTATTCCTCACTGATACCAAGAGTTTCTTTGCTTTTGGGGGACAGGGTCTCACTATGTAGCCCAGGCTGGCCTTAAACTTTTGGCAATCCTCCTGTCTCAGCCTCCTGAGTGCTGGGATTATGTTATAGGCATGAGCAACCACACCTGGCAATACAGACCCTCAGATTACAACCAGCCTGACATACGGACAACTTGGGTTATGACTTGAATTTTAGTTTTAACTTATAAACAAAGTTTTGCATTATGGCCAGCTGCTTGGCTTCCAGATGGTCTCAGATACATGCTTTTTTTGGGGCAGTACTAGGGATAGAACCCAAGGCCTCACACATGCTAAGCTAGTGCAGTACTACTGAGCTACAGTCCCAGCCCCTTAGATACAGATTTAACCCTTAAAGAGTTCTAGAAGGAATATTACATCCTTTCCTGTGTGGGGTTGAAAAATCCTGGGCCAATGTCTCTTTATAGACACTGAGATCTGCCTGTATTCAGGAATGATTTCAAAAGCTGTGTAGAGTAGTCTGAGCCTTCAATTGACCAACCTGAGTTACAACCAGCTCTCATGAACAAACTGAGTTCATAAGTCAAGGCTCCATTGTAATTTTATGTTTATAGAATAATTCATAATAGGACTCTTGAAAATAGTAAAAATTTCTCTTCAGTTGAAACTAGATTTGATTTTTAAATTTATTTTTGGTGCTGGAGATTGAACATGTCGAGCATATGTTCTAACACTGAGCTACACACCCAGCTCACATTTTTTTTTTTTATTGTACCAGGGATCAAACTTGGGTCTTTGTGCTTGCAAGGCTGGCAGTGGAACCACTGAGCTAAACCCCTGGCCCTGATTTTTAAAAGTTAAGCAGTTTAGCTGAGGCATGTCTATAATTCCAGCACTCAGAAGGCTGAGGCAGGAGGATCATTTGGAGCTCAAGGCCAGCCTGAGCTACATTGTGAGATAAATCATTTGTAAAGTGAAGTATACCTGTAAGCATATTGTCGAGAAAAGGAGGAAAGAAAGGACAGCTTTCCAGTTTAGGGGATGGTGAGTGGAGGAGTCAAGAGGTCATGAGCCTAAGGAATTGTCTCCAGGTTTGGCCAGGAAGCATGCCGTTTCTGAGCCCTTGTTTCTACCTGTACTATGTATCTTTTTCTCTTTTTCCTTCCTTCCCTTTTTTTTTTTTCTGAGATAGGGTTTTGTTATATATCCCAGGCTGGATTTGAACTCAGGTGATCCTCCTGCCTCAGTCTCTCAAGTGCTGGGATTACAGGCGTGCGCCACCACGCCTAGTACTATGTGTTCCTTCTGCCCCCTATAGGATGAAGTCGGTTCTGGGACAGGAGTTGTTCCATATACAACCGAATCTACCATGCTCGTTTATTTGTTCCACTCAAAGCACCTGCTCTGAGCCAGAGCCTGGGTTAAACTCTGGTGGCATGAGCGAGACCTCAAGGGCACAGTGCCTGCTTCCAGGAAGCCACAGGCTGGCAGGGAGACATGCAAACAAGGAAGAGAAAGAGAACCTCCCTAGAGGAGAGGAGAGCACCAAGTGCTGTGGGAAGGGCTCTGCAGGCACACTTGAGAGAAATCCAGGGAAGCAAAAGTTCAGACTGTGAGGCAGGGAACATGCACATGGATGAGAAAAACCAGACTTGGTAGTAGCTGTAGTTTGCTTGCAGTTGGATAGGCACAGCACTTTACCCACCTGCCCCCTTTATTGTTTCTGTTTTTTGGCTTTTGTTTTTGGTACCGGGAATTGAACTCGGGTCCTCACGCTTGCAAAGCAGGCCACCGAACCACTGAGCTAAATCCCTGGCCCCTGCCCCCTTTAAAAGAGAAGAGAATTTAATTTAGAAGAATCAGATTTTATTGCATGTGAATATTAAGAAGTCTCCTACATGGCTGAAAATATTCACAGAGAAATTGATCATTCGCATTCATATGCTCAGAAAGTCTGCTGAATAAAAAATGCTCCTTTACCCATCCCACCCTCTGCCAGGGATGGAGAAATGCTGTCTGTCGAGTCCAGCGTGGGCCTTCAATCTTCGTGAATGTTGAAAAGTTTGGCCAATTCATTGAGGTCTTCATGCTGCTCCCCATCCTTAATGATCTGAGGGAGAGGGACATAGGTCTCTACTTTGCTCCATGTGTGCCCAGGCCTGGCCCACCTGATGGGGCCGCCCAGGCCAGTTCTCCCTGAGCACTGGGAGAGAGGCGTGGGAGCAGCTTTCTACTAATTCCAGTGAGCACACCGCCAGCAGTCTGTCTCTGGGCCATCCCTCTAAGTCCAGGTACAAAAGAAGTGCTCTGAGCCAAGGCTGTACCTCTGTTCTACGACGTGACCACAGTGGACCAGGCAACCCAGGCACCTGACAAAGCCACCCCCCACTTCCCATCTTCCCCCAAGAGCTCTGACAGGCACCTACCTTCCTCGCTATTGGCATTCTGTTAAAGATGTTCCACAGCACGATTCCCACCACCACTTTGCCCCTGAGGTAGAAGATGACGCCTTTGCCGTAGTCCTCCCCTTCGCCGGGGGCCTGGGGGACTGTAGAGGTGCCAGGAGGAATGGAGATTTCGGAGGCCTCTGACTCTGTCTCACTCTCTGAGCGGATACTGGTCCCTGTGGCCAAGCCCACAAACACACATGAAAACTCCAAATTTCAGTTATTATGAGCCTGGGGAACTCTAGGGCACAAGTGTCTTTAAGACCTGCTTCAAGCTGCTTTTAGACGGTTTGGTTTTATATGCTCCTCAGTGTGCTCTGGGCTTCTCCACCCTTTCCCTACCACATACTGTAGCTCATGGCCAAGGTCCCAGACAGAGCAGAGCTTGACCATTCCCATCACAACAGAAAGTTGTGTTGGACAGAGCTTCTAGAGGGACACTTTCACTAAAGCAGAAGGCACATCCATAAGGAAAACCTTGCTGGAGGAATTTCTTCCTATGGAAGAAGAGACAGGAGGGAATAGTAGCCCACAAAGGGGCCACTTTGTTCTTTGAGACCCACGGGACTCCAGATAATATTTCCCAGTGGACAGAACAGTGAGCCGTAGTTGAAAAGGACCTGGGTCTGTCCCCTGCATCCACTTACCAGGAGAGATGGGAATTAAGGAATAAGGAATACACTTGAATGACTCGGGAAAAGGGCCTACAGATCCATAAAATGCCTTAGTTTCTCCTTAAATAGCAACTTATTCTTGAAACACCTCTGGCAAAAAGACACAGGCTAAGTAACTTGAGCCAAGGTCACGGGACAAGGCTGAGGGGTTAACAGAGACCTGTGAGTAGGAGGGCAGTCCATTCCAGGAGAGCTGCCTGCTGTCCAAAGCAGGCCCTGGGATCTGACAACTGGAATTAGAAGCAGCTCAAACACGACTCAGCCCAGTGCTGCAATGCCCAGGGCCCATGGAAAAGAGCTGGTCCTAAGCTAAGGTCCCTGGGCCTAGTTCTTGGTATCAGCATGAAAAAGGAAATTGAAAAAGAAAACCAAAAACAAAACCTAAAAAGTTCAGGTTTACTTCATCACCTAGCTCTGCCCAGCCCCTAGGGACAAACTAAAGAACAGAGTCGTCGCGCTGGCACTGCCCTGTGTCTAGCACACCCACCCACAATAACTGAGTCTGTGCTCTGACCAGGACAACGATCTTGCCAGAGCCCAGGTCACTGAAGGGTGAGGACTTTGGCTTTGGTTTCTTTTAGCATAACACAAAGAGAGGCTTTCACAACCAGCTCCCTGTGGCCAATACAGAATGGCCTGCTCAGGAGACCTTGGACCACTGCTTCTCAACATTCCTCCGAGAAAAGCGGTTGGGCTTCCTTACCTGACTGCTCTGTGGCAGATTTGGGGTTGTCTTGTGCTGTTGCTTTTGCAAAAATGCCAACTGTGGGCAAACTACTGTCCACAAGGCCAATAGCTTCATAGCCAACATCGGGACCCAAATCACTCCTATGGAAGGAGAAGAGGGTGTGCTGTCAAGAGACTATAAGGGATGAGGTGGCTACACACATTTTCCACGACAGGGCACTCGTGCTGCCAAAGAACTAGGATGTGGAACAGGAAAAATGACAAACTGTTCAAATGCCACTAGGACATCTGGGCCCAAATGTGAGAAAGCAGGATTATCCCAAGCAGCCTTTATTTTTCCTCGAGAAGTTGCTCCACATATCACATATCTATACAGTAATCTAAATGTCCTGAAGTTTATTCACACTTTTATCCCATGCCACATTTGGGGAGAGATGGCTTTCCTGCTTTTGCTATTCCCCTTTCTTTAACTCACGCCTAAGATGGTCTGTGTGGCTCCCCCCCCCCACCCCCATACCAGGGATTGAACTCGGGACCTTGAGCTTGCCAGACAGGCAGGGCATCACTGAGCTACATCCCCAGCCCAGTGGCTCCAGGCGGTATTTCATTTTTAAGGAATTTGAGATGCTTTATGGGTTCACTAATCTACAGTATTTTACATACTTAGCCTTCCTTTTTCAAGACTAGAATGCTTTCCACTAAGAGGTACCTTCATTCACTTGGTCACTTTATTTTAATTATTCTTCTTGGAAACTTCCCTATCATCACCACTCTTTTTTGATTGTTTTCTTGTGACAGAGTCTTGTAATGCAGCTGGCTTCACACCTGTGACCTTCCTGCTTCAGCCTCTCAAGTGCTGTACAGGAGTGCACCACAATGCCTGGCATATACCTTTCTTAATATGCTAGGAACTTGGAGAATGAGTTCTAGGTCAGTCTCAACTACATAGTGAGACCCTGTCTCAAAAAAACCCAAAATAAGTAAGTAAGTAAGTAAATAAATAAATAAATAAATAGATAGATAAAAGGTATCAAAGAGAGCAAGGCCAGGGCAACCCTTGAATTTGAATCACTTAAGGGTTACACTTGAGTGGGCTGTCTTTTTTTCTAATATGCTGGACTCATTAGGGTTACCAGTAAAGAATAAAGTAAAACATACTACTGCCTACTCATAACAGTCCATTTCTTTTAACAGTCCATTTTGATATCACCTTCTATAGCTCAACTCTGAGCTCTTTTTCCAAAACTGCTGGTGCCATCTCCATCCATTTACCTCATCTAACTTATGCCAAACAGGATACTTTTACCAAGTTGCCACCATTGCATAGATATGGATACAAGATGGAATTTTTCCCATCTGTACACAGCTAACTGGCCCACCAGGTGACCAAACCACAACTCTGTGTCATGATCCTAACAACTGCGTTTGAACCATTTGTGTTCCTGAGGCGCAGAACTCTTACCAGAACATGGACTGATGCCAATAGGGCTTAGCAGCTCCGGTCATATTTTCTCCGGCCAACCTTCCACTCACAACAGCATGATCATGATGCTCTACGCGCCTCCTACCCAGTTTTATATCATAGAAGCACGCAGCATCACCTGCCTTAGGGAAAAAAAAAGATACAACATGAATGCATGATTTTTTTTTCAAAAAGCAAATTAAAGACGATATAAATTTGAGGGCTCAAAGAACCCTTGCAATACTAATTATTGTTTTCTACCTAAAGTTTATGTTTTCTTTTGTGTTTTGTACCGGGGATCGAACTCCAGCCCTTGTGCTTGCAAGGCAGGCGGCATCTACCTAAAGTTTAGAATCATACCTAAACTATTAAAAACATTTGAGATTCCATGTAAAACAAAACTACTCTATGCCTCCACAAAGCTAACCTAAATCTCTTGTGTTTCCATTTATATACTGTTTCTCTGCATTTCTATCCTTAGCAAACAGGCTATTTGATAACCATGATTTTCTATACGTGGAAAGCAGCTTTTAGGTGTGACTGCCTCTCACCTGACAATACTAAAGTTTTTTTTCCATCATTCCATATTCACTCACTCATTCATTCAACAAATATTTATAGAGTACTTACTATGTATAAAAAGCATTATGCTGTCTGGGTTGCCGAGATGAAGCTGACATGCTAGGGGCGAAGGAGACCAGCTTCACGAAGGATGTGGCATTTAAGCTCTCTAACCTTTTACCATCTTTATGGCTACTCAGATTCCCTCAAAGCAACCTAGAAATCTAACAAGTGAGCAGTGACAAAGTAAATTAGGAAATTTACTTAATGAAATATTAGGTAGTCATTAAATTGTTTACTGAGTTTGAAGCAACATGGAAAATGCTTACATTTATAGTGTTAAGTGAAAAAGAGCAGAATACAAATGTTTATATATAGCATGCTTACCACAACCAGGTAAAACAAAGAAAAAACTTATGTACAAGAAAACAAAGGGAAGGAAATACTCTGACACACTTGTGGTTGCTGCAGGTGACTGTCTCCCTGTCTCCTTCTTGTCTGTGTCTCCTACATTGAGCATATATTATTTTTGTAATAGGTTTAAAAATCCGGTACATTTTACCTTTAAAAAAAGAAAGCAATTTTTGAAGGTGAAAACAAATCCCTCCAAGTCTCCTGTCTTCAGTTGCAAAGTCTACAATATACTTACAAAATCTAGTAATGGAGAAAATACCTCATGGTTCCTACATACTATAGCTTTGTTTGCATCATAACAGGTTTTTAGAAACAGCTAAAAATAGTTCTTGAGGAAAATGAAAAGAGTTTATTTTTGAGACAGGCTTTCACTATGTAGTTCAGGCTGGCCTCAAACTTGCAGTGATCCACCTGCCTCAGCCTCCAGAGTGCTGGGGATCACAGGCCTGCACCACCTCGTGCAGTGGGAAGAAACTTACTTCTGGCAAACAGATTTTAAGTTCCACTTCTTTCTTTTTTGTTTGTTTGTTTGTTTGGTTTTTTAAAACTGCTTTGTCCTCCATTCCCTGGACTAACGCACTCTGGGCTGTGGGAATAGTGGATCTGCTGGAAAGCAGTGCATGTGCCTGCCAGGGCTTATGCCATGGCTACTGCCCACCAGCAGAACTCGAAACTCTCTTCTCCTTCTGTAGGCACACACACTGTTCTTCTCATCTTCCGAGAGCTTGCAGATGACGCCATACTTGATCTTCCAAACCAAGCAGTTCATAAGTTTCTGTTCTCTCCTCTGGACCTCTAGAGACTTTGACCCTATTTGGTTAAGCTGTCAATGAGCTGTAGCACTCCACCTAGCAGACCTTCTCACAGGCTGGGGACAATGACTCACACCTCGTCACACTGTAGGACACTTACCACCCAGATGTTAGAGCGTGCTTGTAGTTCTGCGTTTACCCGGAAGCCCCCAAAATCGGAGTCTATTTCCAGTCCTCCAGTCTTGGCCAACTCAACATTGGGCTCCAAGCCCACAGCTGCCACTATGTGGTCAGTTTCTACCTGATGCAAAAAAGAAATTTAGTCCGTCACCACAGCTCTCACTTCTCCTACTGACTGCACATCAGGCCACAAAGAACTGGGGCTTTAACAATATCATGTGGCTGGGTGTAATCCCAGCATTCAGGGGGCTGAGGCAGGAGGATCTTGGCAAGTTTGACACCAAAGTGGGATACATAGTGAGTTCAAGGTCAGTGTGAACTACATAGTTAGATCCTGTTTCAAAAAAAATCATGGCTTAACTCACCTCTGGTAAATAGATTTTAAGTTCCATTTCCTTCTCTTTTTTTTTTGTTTTTTTGAGACAGGGTCTCACTATGTAGTTCAGGCTGACCTGGAACGCACTACATAGCCAAGGCTGGCCTCAAATTTGTGTCAATCCTCCTGCCTCATCCTCTTGAGTGCCAGGAATACAAGCATGTGCCACCACCCCCAGCTTAAATTCCATTTCACAAGCCAAATCCCAATCACAAACACATACCCAACATCACCTAAACAGAAATCTGCTACCCTAGTAAGGACACAAAAATCTATGATACAGATAGGAAGGAACCAAAAGTAAGGTCCACAGGAGCTGCTCTGGCTCTCATCATCCCGTTTTGTTTGTTTGTTTATTTTTGGTACCGGAGATTGAACTCGGGACCTTGTACTTGCAAGGCAGGTGGTGGAACCAATGAGCTAAATCCCCGGCCCTCATCATCCTGTTTTAAGGGAGGGACAGTTAATTCAGATTATTATGACAAGTTAATGGTGGCTGCCAAGGAAACTGTATCTGTTGGTGTCAAATGAAGGAGTACGATGAGGGAAGGGCTGGAAGGCCTTCTGGCAATCTGTCCTCCCCTCCTTACCTTCCTGCCATCTTTTAGCTTGATGAGCAACTTGCCGCCACTGACTCCAACTGACTGCACAATTGCACTGGGCATCACCTTTACCCCCTCTGTAAAGGCAAACAAGACCCGAAGTGAGGCCTGTGACCTTCCTGAGAAGTAGGGCAAACGACCCGAGGCCTCTCCCTGGGTCTAACCCCACCACCACCAGCATGCAGGCAGCCTTGCAGGACTGTGAGAATGTATAGACACGGCCCATCTTTAGCATTTCTGGGAATCCGGTACCTCAGATTCAGAATGCCTGGATGAATTTGGCTGACCGGGGAATGGCGAAACAGTTCATCTCCCAGGTGACAGGGCTTATGTCAAGGGGGTCTCCAAAAAGCTAACTTGACCCTTGGTCACCCCCAAAGGAATCAGAGTGGCAGCACATGGAGAGTCTCTCTACCTCGTCTGACTTTTTCCATAGTCCAGTTGCTGAGGTACTCAGGGAGGATCTTCCCCATGTTTCCTTTCTCAGGGAAGAGCTGGATCACTTCTATGCCCAAGGTTCGAGCTGGCAAGAAGAAAGGCAGCAATAAGAGCAGGAAGCTAAAGCTAATCCCAGGAGGCCAGGAAGGGAAGTAAGGCTACCAATCAGGCAGGGCCCCCACCTGTGGAGTACTGGGGCATGAGGATCTTGCTTCATTTAGAAGGCAAAGACAGCAGGCGCCAGAACTGCTGTCCCGGATTAAGCTACCAACTGTGAACTCAGTGCCCTTCTGCCCATGCAGTCACCTGAGGCTTACACAAGTACTCTGCAACTTCCAAATCAGAAGCACCCTCCTGAGAAGATGCCCTGAGTTCACATAGCTGAGAAATCACATTAAGAAAAACAGTTGCCATGAGACATTCAGACTGAATCTCACAGACCTTTTGAGATGGGAGCCATCATGCACCTGAAGGAAGTTTTGGGATTTTTCATAGGGCAGCAGTTCAGTAGTCTGCATTACCCTTCTCATTTTAGTAACTCACTCCCCTTAATATCTGACTTCTAAAGAGCCCTGGCATAGCAACTAGGGGAAAGGAAAGAAAGCACTGCTTTTTAAGTTGCTCAGATGACAGCTCCCAGCCGCTGAGGGGTCCTCATCAGGACTAACCTCACTGCTTAGCTTCATATTCTACAGACCTTTTTTATTGTGGAGTTGGGGATCAAACCAAGCGCTGCCACTGAGCTACACCCTGCACTCTATAAACCTTAATCCAACTCTTTCTACTCCTTTTAGCAAATACATCTCCAAAATTTATGACAGTGCACCAGACACATGTGATGGGTGAAGAGAAAGAAAATCGGGGTCACCCCCTCATACTCACCCTTTCTGCCAAGAGCACAGGCCAGTTCGCTACCGAGGAAGCCCCCACCGATAACTGTAATCGACTTGACTTCCCGTGAGATCTTCTCCAAGGCTTGAAAGTCTCCAATCTGCAGGATCACACCAGTTCAACCCACATAGGATAATAACCCTAGGAAATATTTTCCTCCAGATCTTCCACAACAGTAATTTGCACATAAAATGTCCCTGTGAGTGGCTCAGTTACAGCCTCTATGTTATTAATGTGGATTTCTTTCTCCATTATCACATTCTTTCTAGTTAGTAGTGGTCCTTAACTGCTGGAGTTTGTCCTTCTCCAGGAGGACATCTGGCAGTCTCTGGAGACATTTTTGGTTGTCAGGACAGGAAATGCTCTGAGCATTTAGTGGACAGAGGCCAGAGATGCTGCCAACATCCTACCATGCATAGGACAACTCCCTATACAACTATCCAGACCAACACGTCAACAGCGCTAAGGCTGACAAACCTTATTCTACCAAGAACTTAAACTGGAAAATTATAGCAGTTTTTATAAGCAAAGCACAGTGTTAAGAAGCAAGCCACTCCCCTCCCTTTTTATTGTGGTATTCTTGACCTTTCTCCCTACTCTCAACACACCACTTGCAAAGAAAAATGCCAAGAGGCTATAAGGAGCTCCAATGAATGAAATACATAACCATGAAACTATAGCAAGCAATATAATCACCAACTGTATTTTTCTTCTAGGAGCTTAACACCCTTGAGTGAGGTATTTGAGGGTCAGAGAGAGGAAGTGACTTGCTCAAGGCCAGATAACAAGCCTGGAGAAGAGCCATACATAGAACTTGGATCTCCCAATTCCTGGGTGAGCACTTCGGGACCACAAGGTTGTTTTAACTCTTCACAGTAACACAATGAAAACACTAAGCAATTACCTTCCTGAAAAGTGTCGTTCTGCTCTTCACCTCTGCTCCGGCCCTTTCGATGGCAGACAGATTTCTTGGAGTGCCTCCTGGAAGTTAAGAGAAGGAAGCCCTTCAGCCTGGCAGCAGGCAGGAACCAACCCAAACAAGCGCCCCAGGTGGGGCCCTCCTGCTGGAACCTGTGCTGTTACTGTAACTACCAGAAGGCAAGATGGCTTTGTGTCCCTTCAACTGGCTCTCACAGCAGGATTCTGATCAATTTCCTTGGAGAAGCAGATCTGGGTCTCTTTTTTTCTAGGGAAGGTCCCTCCCCATGGCTGGCCAAAAGGGCTTGCTTTATGTGTCCACATTTTCTTCTAGTTTCTCATGAGGATTCACCAGCTACCATGGCAACACTATCTCGCCAGCTGCTTTAGCCTCTTCTGATTTCTCATGGAAACTGGCAGTGAAGCCAGAAGCCTATATCACTTTCAGGGCACAGGGAGAGCACTAAGCAGGAAGATAAAAATGGGCCCCTCCTTGATGCTTTTACCAGAAGGGACAGCAAGGATAATTCAGACGGGCTGATGATCCAAGGCACCTGGCCTTAGCTGGGTTGTACAACAAGAGAAGACAATCATTTCAGAGACTCTGGGTTTCGGTTTTCTTAAGATAAAGTAGTAACGCCTTCTTCGGAGAAGGCTGGACTTTAAAACTTGCATGAGCCACTGAAGTAGGGAAGTCAGGCATCTCCAGAAATACTACCTGTTGCAATCAAGCACTTTTCATAGGTGATCTGAGAGCCATCATTAAGTTTCACCATGTTGCCTCTTACATCCAGCTGTACTACCTGGAGCAATTACAAAGAGACAGACACACACACACACACACACACACACACACACGAAATTAGCTCTGAAAAGAATTTCACTGAGACCTAACTCATATAACATAAAATTCACCACTTTAAAGTACACAATTCAGTGGTTTTTACTACATTCACATCATGTTCTAATTCCAGAATATTTCTACCCTCCCTCCAACCCTTAGCTGTTGGCCCAATGAAAAAAATTAATTATTCTTTTTTTTGGTAGCGGTGATCAAACTCAGGACCTTGCGCTTGTGAGGCAGGCGGCAGCACCACTGAGCTAAATCCCCAGCCCAAGAATGACTTATTCTTAACAAACCATCTCGCTGGGCATGGTGGTGCATGTCTATAATTCCAGGCTGAGGTAGGATTGCAGTGAGTTCAAGGCCAGCCTAGGCTACATAGTGAGTTTGACCAGCCTAA